GATACTTTCTGCCTTACTTTCCACTTTTTCTTTAGACAATTTAATGCTGGCGTCAGCAGTGAGGTGACCACCCTCTTTCATCGACGACACTAACATATCCACTTGTAAACTCTCCTTCCAGTTAAAAGTGCTCCTGTGCGTCAGCAATGAAGTGAGTAGCGTATTCAGATTACGCACCTGTACGAAAAATGATGATCATTCGATCTGCAACTTAAATGTTTTAGCACTGAGCTAGGCTAGACAGTCTAATGGCTATTGTAGCTCGTCTTGCTGGCACTCGATATGCTCATTCCTCAATATTCGAGCTACTACTCAAGACCAAAGCTTCATCACATAACCAGTCAGTCGCAACTATGACCGTGAACGTCCCAACCAAGACGCTGACGAGTGGAGCCAAGATTCCGATGGTCGGATTGGGAGTGTACTTAGCCAAACCCGGTGGCGAGACGTACATCGCCGTGCTGTCGGCATTGAAACTAGGCTATCGACACATTGATACTGCCCAGTACTACGAGAACGAAGCCGACGTCGGTCGTGCCATCCGAGACTCGGGTATTCCTCGTGAAGAGGTGTTCGTGACGTCTAAGCTTTACATTGACAACTGGGGCCATAAACGAGCTCTGGCTGCCACGAAGGAGAGCAACGAGAAGCTCGGTCTGGGCTACATCGACCTCTTCCTGCTGCATGCACCTGGGGATTCCTCGCTGCGTGATGAGACGTGGCGTGCCCTTGAAGAGCTGCAAGAACAAGGAATTTTGAAGGACATTGGCGTCTCCAACTTCAGCGAGGCGCACCTGGAGAAGTTCTTGAAGACTGCGAAGGTCAAACCTGCTGTGAACCAAGTGGAACTCCATCCGTGGATGATGCGTCCGTCGCTGGTGAAGTACTGCAAAGAGCATGACATTCTGCTCCAAGCGTACTCGCCATTGGCCAGAGCTCGCAAGATGGACAACCCGACGCTGCGTGAGATCGCGAACGACGTTGGTGCCAGTCCAGCTCAAGTGTTGGTGGCTTTCAGCTTGGCCAATGATTTCATCACGCTGCCCAAGTCAACGGATGCTGGACGACAGAAAAATAACTTTGACGGAGTTAACGTGAAGCTGACCTCTGCGCAAGTTGAGAAGCTTGCAGCTCTTGACGAGTATCTTGTTGTTGGCTGGGACCCGACCAAGGATCACGCGGTGTAGGGTGAATACCCGAGCTACGGAGTGCGTCGTTAGTTAAGCCTTTGCCGAATGCACGACCTTCAGAACTTTTCTTCGATTTCGTCACGTGGGATCATTGCCTTATTTCCAAGCAGGAAATTAACTTCACTTTGCCACATGCTCAAATACTCTTTTTTGTGTATAACTGTCTTGTTGGTTAGTTTTCGAGTGATGCATAGCATTCGATCGATTCGATGCTTTTGTTCCTTTTTGCTTGGTTGGATGATCCAGAATAATACCGGTACATGTAATATGGGATCCGTAAATTAGTTACGAGGTAATTTGATTAAAAGTGTTGAACGAGGAAG